CAAGCTTTATGATCATGTATTGTTGGAATTAGAAGTGGAAGTTTGGAAAGAGAATCTCGGATTTCAAAGGGATGGTGTTTGAAAACTCTAGAAGTTCATAATGTACAGTAGAATTTTTGATATAGTTCAAACTCCTCCTTGTGTCTTAAGACTGTGAAAAGACGTAGAGGTCCTGATCTGTAATTCACCTTAAGCTTAATAATGTAAAACACTAGTTAATACATCGCCGAGCGAAGTGCCACATCCTAAAATTTCATATAAATTAGCTAGTATCAAACATTTCTGTAAAATATGCTAAACATAGACATAACGAGAGCTTGCTTATAATTACTGATATGTTGAAAATGTTTTAAACGCGTAGAGAGGAAATTTTATTAAGGCACCCACCTGTGGGTGCCATTGTCGCCAAAGAGTTAACCAAGTCTCAGAGATTAGATAAACAATACTTGTCGCATATCATGCCAAAAAGGTGCTGTTCTTGGGAAGGAGTAAGACATTAGAGTAGAAAACCTGGATGCTTGAAAACGAGGAAATGCGATTTAAAGAGAGAATACCGAGGGGAAGTGTTCAGTCCCCACAGTGGCACCATTGTTACGTTGTGCCGACCCAGTGCTACCGACCTATAAGACAAGAAATTTAAAGTTGGGTGCATCATTCGTTCTCCACGAAGACGTTCCCTCACTGCACTCGTCTCTCTGACGAATACCCCACGACCATGAAGGAAACGAAAGCGAAAAGTAAATGAAGAAATTGCTAACCTTTGAAAATAAGGCGGTCGCAACGCATCTTCAAGAATGTTGACTCTGTCTCTCGTCGGGCGCATAAGCTCGTAAACAACCGCAGGCAATCAACTTCTCGATACTGGAGAATATTCAGAACAATATCGGTTTTTGTAAACAGCTACTTTGTGTGTCGGTTTGATTGTCTGCAGGTCTTTTTGTCCGTCCGCAAAATGAAGTGAGTGATAAGGCTGGGGACAGTGGGATAAATATCAATTCTTCTTCTTCTTCTTCT